TGGCTGGTGCCTTTGCCAGCAGCTCACCCACTTGAATGATCTGTCTCTTCTGGCTCCTCTCCACTCCTGAGGGCTGCATTTCTCCAGGCAGGACTACATCCCTAGATGTCATATGCCATCCAGGCTCAGCTTTATGCATTCATTTCCTGTACTTGGACTGGAGATGAAGCCAATCCTAAAACTGATTGGGTTTTGTAATTTTAAAGACACTTTAAATTCGGGAAGTTCTTTCCAGTTGCTTTCCAGGAGTCACTGGCAGAGTCCTGAGTCCTGTGCTGCTTTCTGTGCTTTGGATCCAGTGGCTGAAAGCTGTTCTCCTGTGCTAAGGTCTGAGACTTCTGGAGCTCCTGTGCCCTGAGTTGAACGTGGGAATGTTCTGAATGAGGAGCTAATTACCTGTGTTGTTATTACAACTCGCTAATCATCAGCACTATTAGTGGTAGCAATGACAGTGATGCTATATTATCTCTCTCTGCCTCTTCCCTGTGAGTGGGAAGCAGCTCTGTCTGCTTTCTGAGTGGCAAACCTGACTTGCAGAGGTTTAATGGTGTGATTAGTCTTGCAGCAAACTGCTTCTCATGTGCCACCAGACCCAAGACCAGGAGGTAGTTCTGGTGCTCCAGCTCAGCTCTCTTCTGTCATACAGGAAAGTTAATCACACACTCAAGGGATGAAGATTGTGGTTTGTTTATTTTTGTCCCCCTTTGGTTGCTGTGACAGTATTTTTAATTTAAGAGCAGAATGGATAAAAGTCTTGTAAGTATTTTATTAGTTTAGAATGTATCCTGACCCTGGTGGTTGCTCAGAGCTGGCTCTGTCTCTTTTGTGGCTGGGGGGGCTCTTGACTTGCCCTGAAGTGGCTATTTTAGTGCATATTTACTCTGAGGAGATTTATTTCACTCTTCCACCCACCAAGGTGATAAGCAACAATCATCCATTTTCCTGGTGACATTAAGCACGGACCACTCTTGAGAAGAAAAATGTGACACACTGAGCTTGACTGGCTGTGGTTTCCATGATGAATGGCCTTCCTTTGATTCCTGTTTGTTCCTGCTGTCTCCATAGAATCAGTTATTCACCACTGTCATGTAGTAACTGAAATGCAGTGGAGTCACCTCCCCAGGCAGAGTTCAGCTTCCTCCAAAGCAACATCTCGTGTTGCTGTGCTGTGTGTAGGATCACTGACCCTTCAGCTTTCCTCCTCATCATTCCCAGCTGGACAGTGCTGGAAGATGAATATTTTGGAGGGCTTGTGGGGCATGTGGTGATGAGAGCCAGGAATGAGAATCATATACACTGGTTTGGGTTGGAATAGATGTTAAAGATTGTCTCATCCCACACCCTGCCATGGGCAGGGACACCTTCCACTAGCCCAGGTTGCTCCAAGCTCCATCCAACCTGGCCTGGAACACTCCCAGGGATGGAGCAGCCACAGCTTCTCTGGGCAACCTGTGCCAGTGTCTCAGCACCCTCACAGCAAACATTACTTATTCCAAAACTGGCCAAAGGGTGGAGAATCAGCTATGAAGAAAGTCCTGGAGGATACTCTGGCCAGGAACCAGCACATTTCTGTTCAGATTTCCTTTCTGGTGATTTGAGAGATTTTTGCAAGTCAGTGACATAAATAAGAATTATGCTGAATAAAGAGGACACTTATTTACTGCTTCCAAACATTCCCATGGGACTTTCTGTGTTTTCATTTAGAGCTGGCAGGAAACCTTGAGCTGAAATATTTTTAGCTGAAATGCAGCATTTTGATATAATTTTCTCCCTTTTTCTTTGAATATGTGGTGAAATTTGGTGAAGAGCTCTCAAAAGGAAATTCTGGGAGTTTTCCAGTTGCAGCAAATAGGGAATATTTCAGTTGCTGAATGGTGATGAATGTAGTGGAAGAGACACACATGCTTTATTAATACATTTTGTATAGAAAACACAACTTATTGGCAAGTTGCAGCTTCATCAAACTTCTCTTCTATCTCCTGGAGGAGAAAGAGCAAGTGATGTGTCCCTTCTCCAGGAAGATCCTACATCAAGAGCCTTCAGTCTTCATCTTGGATGATTTTACTACAGCTCTGTAGCATTCAGAAGGTATTTAATGAGCAGAGACCCAAGGTACTGTCTTCTCCCAACTTCTACTGCAATGCCTGGACAAGCTCTATTGCTTGGACAAGGACCAGGACGAGCTTGAGAAGTGGCCCATGGGAATCTCATGAGGTTTAACATGACCAAGTGCTGGTGCTGCACTTGGGTTGGGGCAGCCCTTGGGATCACTCCAGGCTGGGGATGAGCAGATGGAGAGCAGCCCTGAGGAGAAGGACTTGGGGTGCTGTGGGTGAGAGGCTGGACATGCTCTGGCTATGTGCACTGGTGCACAGACACCAACTGTGTGCTCTGCTCATCCCCACAGTGTGGGCAGCAGGTGAGGGAAGGATTCTGCCCCTCTGCTCTGCTCAGGTGAGACCTCACCTGCAGTGCTGCCTCCAGCTCTGGGGCACCAACACAGGGAGGACATGGAGCTGTTGGAATGAGTCTAGAGGAGGCACCAAGGTGATTAGAAGGCCTAGAGCACCTCTGCTATGAGGATAGGGTGAGAGAATTGGGACTGTTTAGCCTAGAGAAGAGAAGGCTTTGGGATGACCTAATTGCAGCCTTCCAGTAGCTGAGGGGATACTGCAAAAAAGATGGAGAGAGACTATTTCCAAGGCCCTGGAGTGACAGGACAAGGGGCAATGACAGAGAGTAGGGCTAGATTGGGTATTGGGAAGAAATTCTTCCCTGTGAGGGTGATGAGACACTGGCACAGGCTGTCCAGAGCAGCTGTAGCTGCCCCATCCCTGGAAGTGTTCCAGGCCAGGTTGGATGGGGTTTGGAGCAACCTGGGCTAGTGGAAGGTGTCCCTGCCCATGGCAGGGGGGGGGATGAGTTGATCTTTGAGGTCCTTCCAACCCAGACCAGTCTGTGACTCTGTGGTTACCAAACCTGCCCGTTCTACACAGCAGGAGGGCAGAGGTGGCTTTAACCTCAGCAATATTCCTCACTGGTGTCTTGTGAGATGTCTGCATGGCTGTACAGAAACTTCTGAAGGTTTCCAACTTCACAGTTTCTCCCTCATTTTCTTACAGCTTTAAAGTTGAGATTAAAGGGACAAGTCCAAGGTAGCTTTTATTCTCCTTAGGCCACATAGCATCTGGCAGAGGATGAAAGGCTTTGCAAGGAAAGCTCTGTCTTGCCTGCTCCTGAGGGGTGAGGGAGCAGTGCCATGGCTCATCTGCTGTCCTTCCTGCCCAGGACAGTCCCTCAGGAAACTCCCCACTGGGTGTTGCCTCCTGCTCTGGGAAGCTCGTGGTGCTTCAAGCCTGTAACCCATTAAGTGTGGCCCCTCCACGCCTGGAAATTGAAATGCATGTTGTCACCTCATGCTGTCTGATCTCATTCCTCCTGCTCCAGAGAGAAATCAAAACTGAGAGAAGGTCTGTGGCCCCAACCAGCAGGCACTGAACCAGAAATGAGAACATTAAAAGGGAGATGGAGAAAATGGGGATCCAGCTGACGCGCACAGGATCCTGAATCACCCCGCAGAGATGTGCTGAATGCCAAGGAGGAGCTGTCCATTACGAACGACGTTCAACTTCCTTTGCTTCAAGGATGGGGTCATGGGCTGTCCTGTCAGGTGGGGGATAGGAGAGGGGAGTCAGGAGACTGGGAAGTGCTGCCAAAATCAAGATAACACCTCAGCTGATGGTGAGGTGCTGGTGTGTCGCAGTGCTGAGCCAAGTTCTCCCTGCAGTCCCTTCTCTGTGGGTCACACAGTCCTGCCAAGTGAAGCAAAAGTGTCACCTTTGAAGGACAAAGTGTAGACTGTGTATATAAAGCTGCATCTGGCACTTGGAACTCCTTTTCCCCCCTGTTTTTCCACCTTCCTCCCATCTCCTACTCCTTGCTGGCTTTCGAGAACATCTGTGGGTTGATTAGGTGAGATTTGAGTCAAAATCAGTGATTAACTACAGTTAACTGATTAATTAACACCTAACTGAAGGTATGAAGGACACAGCAGAGTTAAGATGTCAAATGATTGAAGCTCTGGAGTGCCCAGGGACAGAAGCTTCATCCCATGTTTAACCACATAGATTAAGCTACTGTGGGAGTCACTCCAGTGTGTGAGGGGTTGCCAAGACTGGTTCAGAGCTTCATAAATCATAGATGGGCATATACATCTCCACATGGGGCATCAGAAACTTCCCAGAGCTGATAGGAACGAGCTTGGAGAAAGCCCCAGTGTGGGTTGTCTTAGACTTTTGTCTCAGTATCATTTCAAACTGGATGTACTTGGACATGATTTTTGCAGTGATTGGATGAACCTTCTTTTCTGATTCCCCTGCACAGGGGAATCTAATGATCTGATCCCAAGATCCTTGCTTTCCACGGGATTTTAGCAAAGAGCAGGATCATTTTAACCCTCAAACCTATTTCGCCTGACCCCAGAGTAATCATCCTCACTTGCAGCTCTTGTTTGACTTCTGTTTGTCACAGACATCTTAAGCCTGGGAAAATGTGAAGAAAGGCTAACATGGAAGACTGGATCTCTTCAGAAGAGTGTTGGTGTCTCTGTGACTTACTCTTTATTGTGCTTCTAGAGGAACCTCTGCTGTGGAAACAGAGGGAGGATGGGGCTTAGAGTTAAGGTTAATGATTTGCATTGTGTGATGATTGGTTGTGCATCAGGATCTCCTTGCAGTGGCTGTGATGTGGCCCTAGGGCACAAGAAGTGTGTGCAGATGGCACTTTGCAGGCCTCTTTCAGGCTGAGAGAGGCAGAGAAACAGCTGAGCTACAACCAAAGTGTAGTTTGTTGGACCAGCATATCACTTGCTGTGGTTTCCCATTCACTACTACCATCATGGACTTCACAAGCTTCATGAGTACAATCTGAAAGGCTAAAGGAGGGCTGGGTGTTTTCCCTGAGCACTTGTGATGTGCTTTCTCTGTCTTCTCTCTCCACAGTGAATTTGCCAAAGAACGAGAGAGGGTGGAGAACCGTCGAGCGTTCCTCAAGCTCCGCAGGCAGCAGCAAATCGAACGGGAACTCAATGGGTACTTGGAGTGGATCTTCAAAGCAGGTAAGGCAAGAGATCTCCTCATCTTGGGCTGATATGTTGTGGCAAGAGAGAGCATAAGGGCCTCAGGACTAGTCCTTGGTGTTGTTGACTGTTGAAACACAAGACTGGAGAGAGCCCAACAAGCACTTGTTCTCGTTGGGCTTTCTGAGCACTCACATTAAAGTCATTGCACAAGATCTCAGTTTGGTGAAGCAAAACTAAAGGAGCTGAGCCAACTTTCTTGCTGAGATCAAAGCAATTGTCTTAATACAGTATAATACAGTGGTACAGTGCCCAAAGTCTCCACAGTGGGGAAACTGTTCCCTTATATGAGTCATTGATATTTTATTTACTTTCCACCCAGCTGTTTTATAAGCCTCTCTTGCTGTGATGGTAAAACACACCAGAGTGTCATTTTTATGAGCTACAGAGATCACTTGCATGGAACTCACCCCAGCACATATTAACATTGCTTTATAAGCATTATAGCTGAACATTGCACTTTATTGCAAGCCATGAACAACTTTAACAAGGACCCAAACACCCTCATTTAACAAAGAGCAACCTGCTTTGCTTTTCCTTTTTATTGGACAGTAATGATTACCAATAACCTTTCTGTGGTATAGAGTAACTCATATTTATGTATTGACATAACCATAGTGCAATTCTTTCATGTAGGAGCAAGAAACCTGGGGGTAATTTCCTCCTTGCCTACTTTTCTGAGAAGCTGAAATGTCTGAGTGAAGTGCAAATGCCTTTTGAAGCAATGATGGGGAGAAAAAGAAGTGCTGGTTTCTGGTGCCTTTCTAGACAGGTCAGCTTCATCCTTGCCCTTTACAAATGGGCAAACTGAGGTCCAGCTTGACACAGGGACTTGTCTGACATCAGCTGCTAGACCAGGGGCAGAGCTGGTGCTCTGTGCTGCTCCTAAGTGCAAAGCCATGCCATCACTCCTGGTGATGTCCATGCTGGTGCTAGAGGCCTGCACTGCTAAATGTGCTTGAGCAAGTGCCTGTATGGTCACAGCAACTCACTGCAGCACTGCACATGCATAACCCATGTACAAGGCAGGGGTCAGAGCATCCTGGGGCTGTTCTCTGCAGAGGTGGCTCTTACCTTCTGTTGCTAAGAGTTAGCTTGGGTGCTGGTGTTGGGCAGAGCATTTTTACATCCCTCCTGCTGCTTTGCTTCTGTCTTCACCTCTATGTGCCCAGGAGAGTGAGGCTTTGCCCTGCTGTGGGTCCTCATACTTCCCTGAGGGAGGACAGTGCTTTTGGATATGAGTTCTGACAACGTGAGGCCAGAGAGAAAGAAGAATGAAGCATTGAAATGTAAACCAGGAAGAAGCAGCAGCAGTTTCTATGGTGTCTCAAACCCATTATTTCCTGTAGTGCTACACAGAGTGACAATTGTGTGCCAGTTGTATTGACAGACTTTTATTCACTGTGACTCTTCAACAGCAACTGTCCTCAATTATGGAGCCACCCTGTGGGTCTGGAGGATCCAAAGAATCATTCACTCTCCATGTATAATTTGTCTTATTTGTTTACAGCTTTTGTGCCACCTCAAATTCCAATTAATTGCTTTTACAGTGCTGGAGCAGAGTGTACCTCAGTTCTTCTTGGTTTAGTGCCATCTTGCTTCTAAGGCTCTCCTGATTTTCAGTCTCTGAAAATTTTCTGGTCTCCCCATCAGGAAAACAAAGAGAATTCCCTTGCAGGGATGAGGATTGCTGCATTTCAGAGCTCATCAGCTGCACTTGTGTGAAAGCTGAGGTGGAGAAGTTATAAAATGTACAGTCAATCTCTGCTCCAACTTTATATCCCTATGGGAATGGCTGGATCTTCTATTTCTGGGTTGCCAGGGCTGTATAAATGCCACACCAACACAGAGTGAAACTGCTGTAAAATGCACATCCTTTGACTTAGCCTAATAACACAAGATCCAGAAGGTTTTGTAGGAGAGGGAAGTGTATGCAAAAGAGCTGAATCAGGGAATAATAAAAATACTTTGTAAAGGCATTGTTGGGAGTACAATAGGAATATAAAGAAGCTTCCTAGTACAGCTGAATAATAACAGTAATTAAAATGAGCTTAGCAGTGTTAATAAAATCTTTGAATACAAAATGCAGCATGAAGGCTAACCAGGACAGAGAATGAGTGCTTAGAATTCAGGAGCTGAAATCTGGGACTGTGCCCTCGATGGGGATTTCCCAGGCCTGTTTGGGAGGTTAGGATTATGAAATGATCTGGAATTTCCAACCTAGATAATCAGTCTTCCTTGTCCAGGGCTGTTGAGGAGGGAGGAAGACAGCCAGGGAGGATGGACACAGACAGTCCAGTCCTGCTCCAGCCCCAGGCAGGGAGAGGCAATAAGCTGTTTACATGAAGAGCAAAAGCTCTTTGTATTCTGCTCTGCTGGAACTCTGGAGGGTTTTATTATTATTCATGTGGATCTCTAATTGTTTTAAATCCTCCTAGCATCCTTGAGCTCATTGACTCTTGCAGTGAAGAGTTCCACGTGTTAACAGTTGGTTTGCTATCAAAAAATGAACCAACCCACCAAGCTGTGTCCTGCCCTTGGTTTCAACCTGTTGCCTTTCTGCAGTGAGAGGAGGAGCTCACAAGGGCACTTTGTAGTCCTTTTAATGACTTTTCTTTCTCTCATCTCCCTCTACCTTATTTCCTCTTAGCTTTTTTTTTTCCTGCCTTAGAGCATGCAGAGCCAATCTGCTCCATCCCCTTCTTCCCATGGAACATTCACCAAGCTTCTAATATTTGTAGTATCCTCCTTGAACATTTTTTTTCCTTGTTTCTTTTCTCCTTTATTTTTGAAGCAAGGTAGGAAGAGTGGAAAGCTGCAATCCAGTGATTCATAAAACAACTTTTCAGTACTTAGAATGCTTTCGCTCTGTGATTTTTTTTTACATATTCTGAGTATTTGCTGGACCTGGAAAGAAGGTTTCCTTGGCCTGGGTGTAGTGGCCAAGATTTTAGCTCAAGGGCTGTAACTGGTTTAGGACCAAGGAAAGTTTGTGAGTGACTAAAAGAATTCCTTTATCATCTGTACACTACCTCCCATTGGACAACAGGGATTTTAATGTAATATCATCTGGGCCCCTCAGTTCAGGAGGAACATTGAGGGGCTGGAGCAGGTCCAGAGAAGAGCAACGAGGCTGGTGAAGGGACTGGAGCACAAGTGCCATGAGGAGAGGCTGAGGGAGCTGGGGGTGTTCAGCCTGGAGAAGAGGAGGCTCAGGGGAGACCTTATCACCCTCTACAACTCCCTGACAGGAGGTTGGAGTCAGGTGGGGGTTGGTCTCTTCTCCCAGGCAACCAGCAGCAGGACAAGAGGGCACAGACTCAAGCTCTGCCAGGGGAGGGTTAGGTTGGATATTAGGAAGAGATTTTTTCCAGAGAGAGTGCTCAGGCATTGGAATGGGCTGTCCAGGGAGGTGGGGGATTCACCATCCCTGGAGGTTTTCAAGCTGAGACTGGATGTGGCACTTAGTGCCATGGTCTAGTGACCAGGGTAGGGTTGGACTGGATGATCTTGGAGGTCTTTTCCAGCCAGGTTGATTCTGTGATTCTATGATCATATTTATAATTTACTGTCCACTCTCAAGTGTCTCTGATGTTCCTCACAGCCTTCTCTGTAATTTGAATGATGTTATCATTGAGTCCCAGACTAGTTTGGGTGGGAAAGGACCTTAAAGCCTATCTCATTCCACCCCCTGACATGGGCTGAGACACCTTCCACCAGCCCAGGTTGCTCCAAGCTCCATCCAACCTGGCCTGGAACATTTCCAGTGATGAGGCAGCCATAGCTTCTCTGGACAACCTGTGCCAGTGCCTTAGCACCCTCACGGGTGAATTTCTTCCTAACATCTAATCTAAACCTGCTCTCCTTCAGTTTAAAGGCAATTGTGCCTTTCAGAGGAATTCAAAAGAGCTGAAGCCAAGCAATGTAATCCATGCAAATGATTTTGCCACTGCTGCTTTCTCCATTCAGCTCCTCAAAACTGTAGTCACAGCTAGGCTGTCGTTGCTGCATTTCCAGTGGAGAACAGGGAACCAGAAGTTCTCCATACAGAGTAAAGCACTTAGAAGCCCACAAATATTCTTTTGAAGATGTTTCTCTTATCTTACAAGGACGTGCATCATTCTGAAAACACTTTGCTCAGAGACTGAAAATCTTTCAGTTCAGGGCTAATGAAGTTGCATGTTGTGTGCATTTTAATTCTCCCCAAGTCCTTCTCTTTCACACAGCAGTGATCCACAGTGTTTCTGTTCTCCTGGAGTAACAAGAACGGTTTAGCCTCTCTCTCCCAGCTCTCTGTAACATCAGTGTTGTCCCTTGACATGACAAAGCTTTATGAACTTCAGGTTTTGGCTTTCTTTAGAAAAAAAAAGATCCCTCCAGCAATGGAACAGGGCAGGCACGTGTGTGAGATGGAAGGGAGAGTAATTAGATTCCTCATGAGAGTGTGTGGGCTTCTTCTAAGGGCTGAGCGAATTTTTATTCACTTCTTCTATTTACCAAGTCAGTTAAATTCAGTTGGTTTCCCTTTTTACTATCTTGCATTGCCTGTTGAACATGAGTTATTTCCAGTAATTCTCTCTTCTTTTGAGCCCACAGTGTCCTCTCTCCCTGTGCCAAAGAGAAAGTGAAGGGGCACCATGTTTCTCTGCTGCTTTGCCTGCATTGTTCAGCGTTCCAGTTCCTCAGTGTAGGCTTTACCTTTATTTCCAGCCCTGGAGCACACAGGACTTAATGACCAGCAATTCATCTTAGTGCAGAGACACCTCTTGCTCTGATATCCTGGCAGAGCCCCTGTGCCTTTGTTTGGAGGCTTGAAGTTGCTGATCTGATACTGTCTCTTGGTTGAATATTTCTCCTAGTGCAGAGCCACCGTTGTTTGGAGTTTTTTTAGGTGTCCTACTTCTCTTCTGCCAGGCTCTGTGTTACACAGGCAACTAGAAGGCAATTCAGGTACTGATCCTCTGCTTAGGATGCTCTATGGTTAACAACCCCACCTAGAGTGATGAGTAACCCACTGAGCTGTCTTTTTAGCAGGCCTTAAAAACTTATAATGCCCTACTAGGGGGGAAGTGGTCCTTTAATTTCCCAAGAGATTCAAAGCAGGCAGGAGCTGGGCTTGAGGGAATGTCATAGGTGAAACCTGGGGTGTTTTATTTTAAGGGAACAGTAAAACCAAGCCCAGGTGGGATATGTTTATGGACAGAGATATGTCTATGGATGGAGATGTGTTTGGGCACCAATTCAGGCCCTGAATTTGGGGCAATGGCTCAGCTGGTTTGCTGAGTTGTGTACTTTGTAGGTGAGAATCCATCAATATCAGGTGCCTTTGGGAAGGAGTCTTCACATCTAACCCATCCCTTCCTCATGTTTCTGTGCAGGCATGCTCATTGTTAATTGCATTTAATTCCTTCCATGTTTTTAGCCCCCAAACATCAGTAAAGCTTTTTCTAGGCAAGACCTCAGAAGAACCTTTAGGCCTGAGGTGTTGGTTTGGGAGAGAAGTGTCTTGAACTGTCTGAAAAAGCTCATTTCACTTTTCTGACCTGCCTCAGGAAGCCTCCTAAGGCCTCCTAGGCCTTCTTTTTCCTAAGGAAAATGCCTAATTTGTATTGGCTTCTGGGTTTTTGGAAGGATTTTATACCTTTTCAAGTGTGTTTTTTAGCTCATTTGGTGTTCTTGACCCTCTCTCAGCTCTCCTTTCCTCTGTGTCTCTGCTGCACTAGTTTGTACTTCCATTTCTTCTCTGTTTGCTTTCCAGCCTTTCTCAGTCCTTGATATTATTTTTCAGCCTTCTCAATTCACAGTCTTATTAATGTATCATTCCCTCTCTCTCCCAGATGATTAATAAAGAGATTATATAAGGCTTGTGTGGCTTATATAGGCTTATATAAGACTGATCCCTCTAGTATTCTTCTAGGCAGCTTTCAGCTACACACTTTGATGTTTGGCCTCTGGTTTGTTTGTATTTATTTTTTGTAAGTTACCCTTCCATCTAGACTGACTTAAATGGTCTGGAAAGCAAAATTTTGTGGGAACACAGCGTCAGATGTTTTAGTAAGATCCCAAATTACATCTATGCCAAGTGTGTGAAAGAATTTGTCGTTGATAATAATAGAAGGAAACGTACAGTTTAGCAGCTGCCAACTCAATGGTTTGTCTGCTTTAGATTGTCCTTTAGCAAATCCTCCCATCATTTTCCAGCAGCAAGCTAAAAATCTGTGGTTCTGAGTGGATGAACTGTGTGGTCTCAAGTATGGTGTGTACTGCAAAATGACCTGGGTGGTGACATTTACCTTGTGAAACCTCAGCAAATTTGGTTGTCTTTCACACAGATAAAAATTATTCAGGTTTAGGCAGTTGGTTTTCAAGTGTTTTCTGAATTTACTGACAATAGGAAAGGATAAAATTGTATTTTGGAGATGAGTTCCACAGGAATGGAAAACACTGTGGTGTTCGTGCATATATTGCACAACCTTTGCTAGGCAGAGTTTCCCCAAGGAAACCTTGCTGTGGATTTTATTTGGACAAGGATTTGATGTGGTGGCTATTTGGTGACATTGTGGCTCTGTGATGTGGCACTGCTGACACACAGCAGCTGGTCCTGCCTGTCTTACCCTGTCCCATGAGGCAGAGATCTGTTTCCCATGGCTGAGTCCTGGTCTTGCTGATGGAGATAGAAGAGCAGCAAAGGGTATGGAGCATCTTTCACTTCTTAAACAGTGTCTCCAGTGTGGCTGGGCATGAGGGACCATCCTGTAGCCTTGCCTGGGTCTGAAGGAAGGTTCTTGGTCTCCAGAAGTCCCTTATGGATGATAGTTTGGTAAAGATACTGGGGAGGGTGGTTGGTTGTGAAGAGGGATATTGTAGAGGAACCACTACAGCCTTGCAGTGGTTTGTTTGGCCCTCCACCCCTGTGCAAGAGGGATTACATACTAAGAAACACAGTGCTCTGAGCCATCCTTTCCTCCCCACTTGGTGTAGCTGGGTGATGCAAGGGGGTAAGGTGGATGAAACTGGGACAGACACCTGCTGCATCCAGCTGAGCTGGTGTCAGAGCAGGGATATGATCAACCAGAGATTGAACCTTGCTCTTTTTCCTTTTGCAGAGGAGGTCATGCTGGCAGAGGAAGACAAGAATGCAGAAGAGAAGTCTCCTCTGGACGGTAGGTCCTTTTGCTGTGCAGTTTTCCTCCTGTGCCAAGTGAGAGATTCACCTGCTGTGCACTGCCATGGCCTTCCACCGTAACCAGGAGGGCGTGAGGAACGCGCTCTTGCATGCTCTTGGCAGAGTCCCTTCTCCCGTGTCAGGTCTTCTGGAGGTTGCAGGTGGATGATGAGCAGTTACGTGACACACAGCCCTGGGATGGGGATCTGCCCCTGGGGTCGGTCACTGTGCTGTGGGGACACCCAGGTCGTGGTGGGGTTAGGCTGCAGAGTGGATGCCAGGAGAGAAATGCAGTGACCAAGAGAAGGCAGGGCTCCAAACCGAGGTTGCCAGCTGGATTTGACAGAGACTAAGACCCCTGTTAGCTGTAAGCAGTAAGACATAACAGGGTGTGGTGATCCTACCTTCCGACGTGTGACCCTAGCGTGGCTGGAGGGATCGAGGTGCAGCGAGGCCACCGGCACTGCTCTCCTGGTGCCTCCACAGACCCCTGAGCTCTTAGGATGCTCCAGCCAGTCAACGTTCAGTTAAAGATTCTTCCCTCTCCCTTTTCTGACCATCTTTCGTCCTCCCATGTCTCCTCCTTTCCCCTCCCCTCCCTTTCCCCCCTCTTTTTTTTTCTCCTCCCGTTCCCTGTCAGGGAGGGCCGCCTCGGAAGGGCCGATTCAACAAGGCACGGCACCGGCAGAGACTAGCAGCGCCAGCAGCTACAACAGTGAGTGGATTGCAAATCACCAGGGGCTTAGGTGGCACAGCGGGGCAGCTTCACCCCACAGCCCTATGTGCCCAGGTCACCAGTGATGCATCCCAAGTGGTTTTGCACCTTTCTCCAAGCCACGTGGCTCCTTGGGTCATCCTTGACGCCTGACTGCTGGTCCACCTTGGCCAGCCTGGTGACCTGCACCTGGGGAGAACATGGGGATGGAAGAGCTGGGGCTGCAGGAGGTCAGGGCTGAGGTGTGCTTGGCCAGTCTTGGTGTGTGTGTGAGGGTGTGTGTGTGCTGGGGAAGTCTGTGTGGCACGTGGGAGCAGTCAGGGCTGGTAGTCTTGAAGGGGTGTCTGGAAGAGTAGTTTGGAAAGCTGAGTGGTGGAAGCAAACTAGAGGGCACAGAGTGAAGACCCAGGTATCTAAGGCTCCATCTATACCACTAAGCTAAAGGGGCTCAACAATATACCCAGCCTGGAAGCCAACTGGAATGGAGCAGCCCACATCTGTGCTGGTAAATCCTTAGCCCCCAGACAAGAGGGATATTGCATCCAGGGTGCCTGTAGAGATGGCACAACCTAACTGCTAAACACATGTAGGAGATGTCTGGGGGAGAAGATAAAGAAAAGCTGCTCAATCCATGCCAGGGAGTGCTGTAAAATTTTACTCCCAGGGCTGGTTGTGTTCCAGTGCTGGGGATGGCCCTGGACATGTTGGAGTACACTGGGACAGATGCAGCCTGGAGGACCTGGGACTGAGGACTCAGCCTACAGCTGGGTGGGGAAGAAAGGAGTAGAAGTGGCTATTTGCATAACAATGGATCCAGATCACAGGTTCAGAGCATCCTCTCCTCTTCTCCCAACCTGTGGGTGATGCTCTGGGTGTCTCCTGGAAGTGACCAAAGCACTAACTCTTGCCTTAGCTGCGGAGGAAGAAGCGCATCCATTTCTCTGTGAAGGCAGGGAAATTTGTGTAGAGTGAGGGGATCTTCCCCTAGGAGCCTCCCCCAGGGCAGTCTCTGCAGAGTGAGTGGGTTTGCTGTGTGTGCCTCCTGAACAGTATGTATCACCACACCGTGGGGTGTCTTACTGCTGCTAGAAAATGGTGCTTAGTTACTGTATGTCTTGAAGCTGTTACCAAACTTGTATCAACCTATTTTTTTCTGCCAGTTCTCAAGGTTTTGCAGGTAGGTGGTTATGGGACCAGAGTCCTCACTGCTCCTGCCTCACCCCTCCTGCACTGGGTGGATAGTGCAGAGT